GAAGACGTAGTCAGCAGCGAAACGAGACTTAAAAAAAATCCATTACCATTTCGTTTAAAAGCCACACCCTTGATCATCGCTATCTCTGCCTTCAGCACTTGCAATAACTAAGCGGCGTAAGCGCAAAAAGAAATTAAATCGATCAGTTTTGTTGAGTCGATCTCTAGCTCAAAATTGCCGATTTCGAGTACGTGGTTTGGTGGCGGCCGAAGAGCTTGAAATTGAAGATGAAGCTCAAGACGTTTTCAGGGATATCGACCAGAATTTGCACGTTTTGGAGAGCTTAGAGAGATTTTCATTTTTGGAAAAAAAGATGAGGATGAGGTAAAGACTGAAGATGGCGACGAGATTGGGGACGTAATCATTGCTTTTGTAGTCCGGAATGTGCAACGTCGGCATTTGTTGCAACACACGAAAAATTATTTGGTGGAAAGTTGGTGACATGCATTTGGAAGACACAGACTGATGATGAGATGAATTTTGATATCAACGTTAATGGAATTCTCACGCCTGACAAACTCCAAGAGCCGGATGAAGTGGATGATGTCAACGCTTCAATCAACATGCAAACATTAAGGCGTTTCGAATGAATGAAAATCACGGTGACTATGAGCTCTCGGTGCGATGCTAAGAAGGTGGTGGAAGCTTTAAATGGATCATGATATGGAGGTCGTGATGTATCTGCACAAAAGGAATTCAAGTGAGGTTGTAACTTATGTGGTGAAATTGAGCACACTCAAGTAAAGATCAAGCGCGCTACAAGCCCATTAGTTCAGGTACTGCTGCGATTAAGAATTGAAATAAGCATCAAGCTGCTAACGTGAACTTATCAAAATAAAGCCAATCGAGTCTGCAGAACTGATTAGTTTGTTTTTGAAGCGACTCGAAGCATTGCAGGTGAATCAAAAATAATACTGGACAGAAACCCACAGGCTGATCTTATACATTTTTAGGAACGGGCTCATAATCGTAACAAGGCTTCAAAGCGGTCACGGCGTTTGGTCATTGGTATGCACGAGGTTCGACGAGGTCTTTTATGTCGCAAGATTGTTTTGCTTGTCGTTGCCACAGACTTTGATGGGTTTAAAGCAGTCAAGCTTCGTTAGTAACGACCGCTAAGAGCTGAAGGTCCTTGTACTCGCTCCGATGAATCGGAACGTGCAAAGGCTTTTCTAGGCTTCTTTTTTTGCGCTTCTTTTGACAGCTTAATCTCGAGATGGCAGGAGAAAATTAGGGAAAGTACTTCAAAGGAGCGTGCGCGTCAGCTGAGTTGGTGTTTACTCTGTCGATGGCGCAAACGATCTCTTTCAGCAGATCTTGCAAACAAGCTGACGACTTCTTGACCTGATATTTATATTTGAGTCTTGCGCGGACTATTACTGCGAAGTTGCCAACATCGGTAGTATTGTCTTGGATCAACAGTAACTTCTTTGTTTTGTGCTTTTCTCTTTCCGGGGTTGGCAGCAAATTCATTGATGCATCGACAAGCGTGGAGTTGGCTCGTGCCAATAACATCATTTGCTGCCATCAAGTACTGCAGGAAGTTATCGTCGTTACTTAGCGATGTATTGTTGTGCAAAAAGCGTAGTTTGAAGTCAAATTTTGTTTCGCTGTAACTGTTTGTGAGTCGATCTTCTAAAACTGCTACAAGTTTGGATGTAGGTAAACCAGCACGCAAACCTCGTGCGACAAGATAGCGCTCGGAACTGGCAGGGCGGCAAGTCTAGTACAACATACAAATTAATTTTCTGCCAGAAGTTTGCGATAACAGTGGCACGTACGATGGGCTTTACAACTGCAAAGCATTTGAAAGATTGATGCAAAATCCAACAGATCTCTATCATAGCTGGTGTTACCAACTCAAATGTCTTACAGATGAAATCCCCGCCGATTCGAAGTGCAGCAAACATTGCAAGAACCTCTGCCAAAATTAATCGAGTCATTATGGATTCCTACACGACAGAAAGATTACCAAATCCATTTCATTTCATCACGAAAGAAGTGCGCTCCCACCTGATTCAATTGTGATCGAGCATCAGGAAATCCTCCATCAGCTACAGCCAGGTCAACGCCATCGGGATGCTGCCTTCGTACACAATCACGAAAGCTGTGAACGTTTGCAATCGAGTACAAATTACCCGTTCCGTCCTCGCCGTAACAAATTGTCATTGACTTACGAAATCTGGTAGGCAGGCGCCAATCGCAATCATTGGCTGCATCTTTCAGTGTGATGCCATAGCCATGACCTTCTATAGCGATTTGATCCATTTTCCACAATAAATATTCGGAAAACCCACCTGGTCCGCCACAAATGTCTGCAAAGCTAAATTTGTCACCACGTTCTTTTAGACTGTACGTCCATTGAAAGATATAATCTAAATTGGCTAGTTTCATTGCAGAGCGGTTTATAAAATGGTATCTTCCCAGTGACTCGAACTGATTCGTTGCAGTGCGAGCGGTGAGGAACTCAGAGCTCACTAACTCGTCGAATTTTTCTTTTTCCTGCTTGAGTTCTTGGAGCAATGTCAAGTCAATCAATTGTTTTCTTATCTCGCCAACCTCATGAATAATGTCTTTTGTACGATCAAGCGCAATTTCGAGTGCATCAAACCCTTTGCTCTGGTACAAAAGCGATAATAGACCATAACGTCCCACTTCAACGCTATTGATCGGAAGATCAGCTAGTTTGACTACCAGCTCTGTGCCAGGTAGAATTTGTGGAAGTTTGTTGATTTTTCTGTGGTTCATACGACGATTTACTCGACCAAAAGACGTGATCCCGATGTTCGCAATCAACTCTTCATTTTCACTCATCGCCTTTGTAAAACAATGGAGACTAATGATACAATTTATACTCTCGAAAAATTTAGTGGTTGTGTGTATTGTACCGGGTATATTTATTGTCAGCACAAGCACATTCGACTACCTATAATATACTGAGTACTGAGTACGAATCTATTGCTGTGCACTTAACGCTTCAAAACACACGCAGACTCACGAGGCAAGAAACAATTTGCCAGTAGTAGCTGAGAGATGCGACAAAGGGCACAGGAACAGCTTTGCAAGCAGTTAAAGCACCTATCACGTCTTACTGCTAGCGATCAACTGACTGCGAGTGAGCTGATCCGTCATTTACACTGCCATCACTTGGCACAGTGGCGTTACCATTTGAAGCACTGCTTGGACCCCTTGCAGCACGATGCACAACGGAATCCAACTCTGCTTCTAGCTGCAGTTCTCGTGCGACACTCTCGCTTAGTAATTGCTCCAAATATTTTATGCGACTTTGATCAGGAGCCAACAACAAAGCTTCGCGAATGTTGCGACCCTGTGCGCGCTGGCGAGTGCGCTCCTCCACCCCACGATGATATCGATCGACGACGCTGGCGTCAATAGCGAATCGATTTTCTGCCACTAAATCGACGTCACTACTTGCTGGCATTGTCATATTGAGCTCATCTGCTGTAAGTGGCGACAAGCCATCGTAACGTGCTGTCACACTTGCCGATTCTTCCGAGTCGTCGTCGTCGTCGCTCATGTCTGAGCAATCCGACAGCGTTTTTGTCCGAAGCTCATCGTAATCGTGAATCACGTCGATTTGTAACTCCACCTTGTCTTCGTCCAGATTGCCACCAATGGGCATTACAGAAGGGGCGTCCATGACGCAAGTATCGCGAGGACTTCCATCTTCATCAGAGCCGCGGTTTGAAGTGTCATCGTCAGGCTTCTCTACAGGGTCCATAAACTCCATATAGTCGGGATGACTTTCTGGATCCCACCGGAAAAACATACCATCCCACAAAACAACACGTTTCAGATTTGCGCGAGGGTAGAGCACCCGATTTGTTGGACGGTAAAGAGGATTTTTATATGGTGTTGGATTCTCCAACACTGGCGTCCATACCGATTCAGTGCGCTCCCATACTTTATCTAACACGCGCTCTCGCTCCGAATTGTATAAGAATGTACCGTATAGACCAGAAATGAGAGAGTCTGAGATGTGAAGTAGAAACTTTTCGTTAAACTCGAAACACGCCGGAAATTGTCGCGTCATTTGCCATACACAATCTAGAAATTGCAACATGACAGGTGATCGTTCGTTTGGCTGGTCAGTTATATCCTTTCCCACGCCAATTCGATCTGCAAACTTATGTCCAAAGGAACACCACTCCTTCTCTACAAGGCTGGCGAATCCACGGATAGAACGGTAAAATGGGTCGAGAATGAGTTGTGCCAACGCTACAAGCTGTGGCGTGCGGTCCCAGCCATCACTGCAATGTACTAAGACTGACGCGCCATCTTCATGTAGCACCTCTGCAACCCTACGGGCACCTGATAGCACGCGCATAACGTGCTTGAGCCATCGAGTGTCTTAATAATTTAAAGCGTTACAACATGTCAGCGCGAGCACATATGCAATTGTAAAGCAAACTCACTTTCAAGACGATTGTGATAATGTTTGTCTCCATCTTCAACGCTGCTTGGGCTAACAAGAGCTAAATCGATTGATAACCAAGTTAAATTTGATACATCACAATTTCAAAAGGGAGCAAAGACGTACATTTCAAAGCATCTAGCGACTCGCGCATTTTGTGGATATTGGCGATTCCCATGAACTCAATGGTCGCGTTGTCGTAATGCTGTGAATTTTCCACACCTAAAAAAATGATAGTCAGTATTAAATCGTAATATTCGAAAATTTCATCGTTACCTTTTCCTTTTAATCGATTTCCTTTTGTAGCAATGGGCTTCCGGGCATCAATTATGTGAAGAGGAGGTGCCATGTTGGAGCTATTCTTGTTAGCTGAGTCACGGTACGCGCGTAAAAGTATCCGATCTGGCTCGGATCGATTGCCTGCCATGCCGTAATTCGGCTGACTTGAGCGAGACAAAACGCTCTTGTTCACGGGATGGCGCCACACGACAACTGGTAAGCGTGCGCGGGATCGAAAGCGAGCCGACTGCACAAGCTGTTCCTCCGACATGATAGACGGTACAACCATCAGCTGGGGATATGTGGGACTGAATCGAAACTTGGAATTCTTTAGAAGGCGCCACGTGATGGCTCCATCGTCTTCCGTTTGTTTTTTGGCTGACAGAAAGCCAAGACGCTGGTATTCAGCAAAAGGCGAGTACACAAACCATCCATTGTGCTTTTCGGAAATTGGACAGCCACGTAATTTGGCCTTTTCCGTGTGGTAATCAAATGCAAACAAAGCACCAATCATATTTGGGGGCTTCATTCGCAACGTAAGCAAATTAAGCCAGCGAAAGTCTGGAGTAGATGGCAGCTGGTCGTATCCTTTCTTGCGAGAGTACGCGTCGTGCATAGCGAGTCGCAAAGTACGCAAATCTTTGCACGAAATAAGCAACATGAGCCCGTCCCGTGTTATGACGTCGATGGCTGCAAGTGGTAACTCAAACGAGCCAAACTTCCATGACGCGTCGTAGGGAACAAATGTGATACGATACGATGTGATCTTCAGCACGCCTTGTACTGCACGGTCACTCTGAGACATCACGACTAAATTTGTTACACGCTGCACATGTTCCAAGACCGACTCTCCTGGAAGCAACTGAAAGTGATCGCTTATGAGTGAGTCCCGGAGTTTGGAGCGTTCGACCGTGCTAGAGACCGTTGTCATTGCCTCGTCAGCTGGCTCAGAGGGTATACGAGACGGTGTGGCTGCCGTAGACGTCTTTTTGTTGAGCATCACCTTGCCCTGCTCTAATGCCTGAACAAAATTTGCCCTGTCTTCTGTACTATAAAACGTAATCTTTTTGTTCACACTAGCATTTCCCGTTTGGATCTTTAGTTGCATCCCAAGTCTCGACTGTGGCTTGGCTGTAACAGCTGCACAACTGTACTCTTCGCGCTGGTCATGTGCAGATAGAAAATAAAGCATTCGTTCATCTACGTCCACCTGCAGTTGAATGCTTGCACGTTTACTACCAAGTTTTTCCAAAACACTATCGCTTTTCTTGACGGTAAACGTAAACCGCGTCACTTCCGACGATGGTGCAGCATTGCGACTAAAGCCAAAAACATTACTGCTATGTGTAGATCGACTGCGACCGTTTTCCACTAAAAAATTGCTAGGATCGCTCAACATGTCGGTCGGTCGCGCTCCGGAAGTGCCAGAGTGTCCAGGTCGTTCAAAAAAGCTGTTGCTGTGACCGTAACTACCAAGCGAGCTGCGTCCTACTGCCATGTCCGGACGTGGGATCTCCATGTTGTATCTTGGGCTTAAACGGGCCTCTACACTTGTTGCGTCGGTCATGTCAAAAGTCAAATCCGTTCTGCTGCCTGACGGAGCTGTTGCAGCCCACTTATTGCCACCGTAGGGACTTGGGGGTCCCGTTGACTTGTATCTGCCGGCGACAAAGTCGTCTGAGCCCTGTATTGATATTTTCCGTCGAGAAGGTGTCCTTGTGTGACGTATAGGACTAGAGTCAGCTCCTTGAGAAGCAGAAAAGTGAATTATGGACCTAAGATTTTGACGTAAAGGCATGGAATGACTACCAGATAGGTTTGCGGTCGGAGCAGGTGGTGGAGACTCGCTCTCTTCGCTTGGTAGCTTGCCAATGAGTTTCCATACGTTCGTTGTGGCTTGGCCGGCTTGTGCTAAATTCTTCTCAGCCATTAGCAACTTTCCAAGCGTAGTTGAGTCCATCGTGGACTGGCGCTGGGCCAAGTACGCGTCGTCCTGGTCGTCAGCAGGGACTTCCGTCGTCATGGACGCCGGCATTTCCCGAGCGTGCATTAGCAACTTAAATTTGGCAGAGAGCGAACAAGAGAGAGAGTCTGCGGGAGAGACAAGCAGGGGGGAGGCTTGCTATCTCTCTTATCGCCGAGACCGCTCTATTGTAACCACGCGCGCGCGGGCTTTCCTTTGTGCAGTGCTGGCTCGCTCGTCGGGTTGAGGAAAGACCCAGGAGCCAATCAGCGCTCGAGATGATCGAGTCTCTGGCTCGATAGTGAAGTCAAGTTTGATTCAACCAAAAGACTAGCTGCCTTGCTTGTTCAAAGACTAAACGTTTTGCTGACCAAGGATTGCAGGATCACGTCAAGATGGAAGGTAGGTGGTAAGATCGTTGTAGCGACGACTGATGGAAGTGGGTTCTGAAGCTTTTGTAGGGAATATTGGCTTTGAAATTAAATACTTCACCTTGAATAATGGACAGCATGGCACATTCTGACAACAGATCGCCAAATACTATCATAACTCGAAAAAAAAATCACTTCCTTGACAATTTACTTCATCGTATACAACTGGGCTTACATGAATAGAATTCATGTTCACGATCAGCACAAAGGAAATACTCATCACGTCAGATGCGGCAATCTAAGCACTTTTAGAAAGTGGCTCTTCAGCGTGCTCGCTGCTTTGTTGCTCCCAATCTCTTAGGACTCTCTATCATACAGTTGTTTTGTTGTACCGCCACATCTGATTCGTAGGTTATGAGCCCTTTATCGACCCATGTCTAAAAACGCAACAGCGTCGAGGCATCTGCAAATTCTGACTCAAGTCCACCATTCACGTAGGCATTGTTTCCATAAATGCCCTAATTGAATCGCTAATGCTTTGCAGCCCCGGTATTACTCGCTACATGGCAATTGTACATACTGTAAACATGTTCTGTGGGCGGCACGAAAGTGCAGATGCAAGCGGATAAGCTCTGCAGTTATATTGCCTCCTCTAAACCATACATACTTTCAACTAATAAATCGATTACGGTGCGATTTGCAAACGACGCGAAGAAATGCTCTGATCTCGTGAACCAGCAAACTCCATCTAGCTTGTCACTCTACGCTTACAAAGCTGAAGCCCCAACAACAGGATTCACAAGTTTTCCAATGCGGTCAATCTCAACCTCTACCATGTCGCCTGGAGTAAGGAAAAGCGGTGGGTCGCGAGCAACACCAACACCCTAAACCAAGATTAAGTTAGCACATTCATCCATCGAGAAGCACGACAAAGCGTCTCACCTCAGGAGTTCCAGTAAGGATCAGTGTGCCTTTCGGCAAAGTGCAATCTTGAGACAGCTGACTAATTAGCTGCGCAACCGAAAAAATCATGTCGCCTGTGTTTGACTTTTGCACCTGTTCACCATTAAGGTAGGTGGCGATCTCGAGTGTCTGCGGATCTGGAATGATTTCAGGCGTCACAAGTTCTGGACCCAGCGGACAAAACGTATCAAATGTCTTAGCACGACACCATTGACCTCCACCTTTCTTTCCCTGCCATCGACGAGCTGAAATGTCATTTGCACAAGTGTAACCACCGACGTACGTCAGCGCTTCTTCTTCGGTTACATTACAAGCAGCTTTGTTCAATACAACTGCAAGCTCGCACTCAAAGTCTACCTCAGGAGGGTCTGAGGCAACACGAGGAATGACCACTGGGTCATGTGGGTGCTGTAAGGAATTGACACCCTTGGTGAAGAGCACAGGGTACTTTGGTTCTGGCATATTCGTCTCCTTAGCGTGTTTGCGATAGTTAAGGCCGATACCCAGGATCTGCGATGGCACTACAGGCGCTAAAATCTTTGCGACGGTAGCAGTTTCTCCTGTGAAAAGTAGAGAGCCCAATATATCATCATTCTCCACGAGCAGAGCAGTAGAGCCGTCATCTGTGCGCTGGCCACAACGAGTCACGCCGTTCTCGTCCACAAAGCGCGTGAGCGCAGTTGCTTTACCATTCAAATGCGGCTTCGATGAGTGTAAGCGGTGCGAGGAAAAGGTCATGAAGAAGAAAGAGTTGGATCTGGTGGAGGAGCCACGGCGCACGAGACGCGACAACATCTGCACGAGATGTTGTTTGGCAGTTCTATGCATGCGGGTTTTCTACTTCAAGTTAGGATTTGTCGTGTAGATTACATGAGGTGTTGACAGACAGTCAACGATACTGTACGTATATTTGCTTGAGACATAAGGTCAACGACGGCCTAAGTTACACTTTGGGGTACAACATATCGGTGAGCACGCCACATGTGCCCATGTCCTGCGTGCTGCGGCTAATACGAATGTAGCCATCCTCACCCCAATCTGTGCCCCATGAATTTTTAATTTTGATAGTAGTGGCGTCATAGCCCACAGCGAGCACAGCGTGATCCACCTTCTGATTATCACAAGATGACATGACGCCACTCTTGTACTGCTTCCATGCTGGATTGTTCGATATGACCGAGACGACCACAGGTTGCTTTTGTAAAGCTTCAATCAGCGCACTTTCGTTTCCAGCTGACAGTTTAACAATGTCAGTAATGCCTGACTTATGGCTAGCGCAAGAATTTAGACACTCAGCAGCATTGTGAGTTTCTGCTGAAGTATACGGGTAGCTGCTCTCCAAGCAAACGCCGTTATCGCGCGCATACTCCATTGCGTACAGCGCAGCGCCACCACCGCAGCCAAAGCTTCTTCTTTCGCAGCTCACAATTTGCTGCTTTGAGTAGGTGGGCGCTATTTTGCCATCGTTCGCGAGGCATTGCGCAGCCTCAATTGCACTCATAGAAGCAAATGCCCAGCAACTACCACACTGACCTTGTAAATCAGGAGGCTTGATACAACTTGATGTGCTCCAGTCAATCGTTTTTGGAGCATCTGTTGTTGATGTTGTAGACTCAGCAATCTTGTGCATGCTCGATCGACCAGAACCATCCGCAGTACTTGCTTGTGTTTCAGCTGATATACTAGGCGTATTTAAAGCTGAATAAAAGTCAGCCCGCTTAGGTTGGATCGGGGTATCCTTAGCAGGGGCTGGAACGGGTACAGCAGGGACTGGAACACGCACAGCAGGGGCTGGAACGGGCACAGCAGGGACTGGAACCTGCACAGCAGGGACTGGAACCTGCACAGCAGGGACTGG